CGTGGGCCGGATCTGGGCCATCGAAGTGTTTCATTTGGCCCATTTGTATCTGCTAAAATTACAACAAAAATATTATGAATATAAATTTTCGTTGAAAATATTGATGAAAAAATAACGTCATAATGACGCCGATTGTTACATTGTGCTTCTTATTATTATATAAACGTTAGCCTAGCTGTTGTAAATAAAACTGTTTTTTATTCATATTTTTTCATATTCAGTTTTGATCCTCTGGCCCAGTAACCAAGTATATTTGTAACTGGCCCACTCCGGAATGCAATTGCCGCCAACCCCATCGCAAGGGGTAAAGGGGTAACTGCTTCTGATATTTAAAGCACAGAAAATTAAGAATGGCAAAAGCAATATGATATGTTGATTAAATTTCACGCCTGTAATAGGTACTTTGCTAAGCCGTTCTTAGACTCGGGTTTTTCGTGTTTTATTACCGAGCGCTTTGACGACAATAAGGGCACGTATTGCGGAAAATTTTTGTACATCTCGTTTTGACGCATTTACTTAGAAAAAGTGACATTTAATACTACAGCAGGATAAATTTGGTAAATGTCATACCATTGACGTATACGGGTGGTGTTTTTCACATAAAATATGAACATTTTGATGCCAATAAATATACGTAATTCGGTGTATTTCCTATTTTGAGCAGAATTCACTCTAAAAAGAATTTGTACAAGAAGCGAACAATACGTAATAGAGTGCTATTTTTTAAATAGACGGAACCATTCCGGCTTGGCATTTCTTGCTCAACAACTTACATCTTAAGTTAAGTAATAAGAATCCGGTTTTAATCAGAAGATCTGCAACCTGCGAGTAGGGCTGGGCATTTTCAAATTTCTGGTGATTTTAAAATCATATCAAATTTTTTTTTTGAATCAAATCTCGAATACTTGGAAGAAATGTAGTTGTCTTAACTGTTAAGTAATAAGGCAACTTTCACTTCCGATACCAAGCACAGCATAAAATCTCTAATCCCCTTTTAAAATTTAAACTCAAATGGTAGTGAGGCATTTACGTAAGTCGATATGAAATGGCTTATACCTTCTTGTGACATTCAAAGTACTGCAGAACGAAAAATAATATGATACGTTTGGTAAATGTCATGCCAGTATCATGTAGCGCGTTGACGTAAACGGATGGGATTTGGTGATATAAAAATTTTCTGCTTTGACGACTATTCGGTGTATCTTTTGTTTCACTAAAAGTTAACTGTAAAAAGGATTTGGGTACTTTCGTGTGTGTACTAGGTTAGGGAATAATTTTATTCCGGTTTCCTTTTTTTTGGATCTATTACGGGTTGGGAGACTGTCTGTGTTAGCTAAGTGAATATACCCCTACACATAGATTTCAGTCCCTTCATACAACTGGATGTAAAGTAGGCAAACGAAATTAGTTACCTCCATATGGTGCTCCAGAATTCGGTGTTTTATGTTTTGAGCACAAAAGGTCAAAACGGTTCGGGTTAGGAAAAATTTGAATTCCCAGCGCAATCTGCATTACTAATCGTAACTGGATAATTATTTTTTTCTTTCATTTTGATCGCTGGCGGGGATGTTTTTTTGGCGGGGCTTTGGGCAAGGATGCAATCTTTTTCTCAACAATAAAGCAACGTCTTCAAGTCGACGGTGTAAACCAATCAATGTATTGCAATGTGAAAAATCATTTTTCTGTATCATACAAAGCATATCATAGCATATCTGTATCATATCATATCCAATTAGGGTTCGTGTTAGGAATGATTTTAATTCTTAATCCAACCCTAACCGGAAAATTACTGATTTTCCTATTTTGGCGAGGGCTTGCTTTATACCAAAGATCCAATCTTTTTCCAACAATAAAGCGAAGTCTTCAAATCGACGATGTGAACCACCTCATAAAAATACCAAAGTGTTAAATTCACCTGATAATTTTTTAAACATAGCCCGAGGGATAGCTTAAACAATGGCTTGGGTTATTTTTAATTTAAGTTTACGTAGCGAGATTACTAGACCAGAGTTCAATTCGGTGCATTTAATTGTGAATGTCACTTTTGAACAAGTTTTTTCGTAACTGTGTGAACTTATTCAGAAATGAATGCGGATAATTGAACTTGCTTTGTTTTACATCCAATTATTACCTATTGGATCCAAGAAAAAGGGGAAGCAACACAATAATATTAATAATAAATAAAAGATTTTTTAGTTATTCTTAAAATAAATTTTGATCCACGCTCTCTTTTTAGAATTTGCCAAGTCTCACGCCCCACGTAATAAATAACTTCCTAACAATAAGCTACGAATTACAGATAGTAAGACAGAAAGAAGTATGTCAAAAACACGTTGAAAAGACGTAGATGGAATAGCAATATTTTAACACTAAGGAAATATAAATAAAAGCGATCAAGTTTAAATCTAACAAATATTTTCATTTTTAGTTAGCTTCAAGTCGTCCACGCCCTTCTTGTTGAGCGCGCCTCGCCGTTTGAAAACCACTGATTTTATAGGTCTACTTTGTGCCCAATAATGCAATACGTTTGTTCAATTTTTCGCCAGTACGTCCCATGTACTCGGGTTTCACGTGTGATACTTTTGCGCGCTTTGAAGGTAATAATCGCACGCAATGTAGTAATTTTTTTATATGCCGTTTCGATTCCTTCACCTAATTAGTACTACAAAAAATATTCACCCAACTTCGTTTAAACTTTTTTAATAGGAATGCAATCAGGCTCGCATATGATAGTGAACTTAGTCGCTTCGATGGCACCTTTTAAAAAAATTGACTCTTATCTTTCTCTGATATTCTATTAAAAAAATTCAATTTTTCTTTCAACCCAGCGGTTCCCAAACTTTTTGTTCGCGCGGCGCCACATTATCAGGAAAAAACTTACGACACACTTACACGAAAAAAAAAAATTGCTGCCTTTGAATAAAACTCAATTTTGTGATCGTTAATTTGTATTTTATGCTTTTTGAAGTTTGTAAACATTTACGACTAAAGAATAAAGGCAATGTCAACAAACGACATGACGTCATAACATTTCGACAGTTTGGCATACCAGAACTCATTGATTTTCTCATAGGTGCCGCTGCTCGATAAACAAATTTGGTTTCCCTTGGCTCCCCTCACCCTGTAATGCTTTTTTATATTTTATTGTAATTTGTATGTCTAGTGCGCTTTCAATGTGTCAAAAAAATAAACTACTGAATACATTTACACTACTTGATCTTATGAGAGATGTGCTTTCGCTGCTTTGAACACATTTTTCCAAATATTCAATCATATATTGGTTATCTGTTATATATATCTGTTAATTTTTGGGGCGCACTTGGCGAACTAATTTATTTTATGTGCCAAGTTCAATGACTAAGTACATTAAAAAATAAAAACAATTTACGGTCAATTTACTTCGATTTTCTGTGATCATCGGGAATTGTGACTGGTGATGACCTTTCCCATGGCCCCCAGAAAACGGTACTCCGGTTGTGTGATTTTTCTTATTTTAGCTCTATTACGAGTTCGGGGACAATCAGACAGTGTTATCCAAGTGAATATTCCCCTGCCCATAGGTTTCTGTCGTTCCTTCACACAACTTGATGTGAAGTAGGCGAACAAAATCAGTTACCTCCATATTGGTACACACACTTCTGGAACACCCAATAAAACCGCTTAGCACCACCTTGTAGGGACCGAGACCGCAGTTTAAAAAAACCCAGTACTAGGCAATCGCGTTCAATATTTCACGATTAACGCGATATTTTTTGTTGAACACGTCCAGTTCCCATATCAGTGATAAAAATCTGACAACGATCCAATGGAATTGGATTTCTTAAATTGAAACACCTCAGGCAATTCAGTCTTAACTACCAAATTCTATCCTAAAAAAATATCCAGCTATATCGGGTATCTTTTTCATATATCAGAAAAGTAACATAATACCAGGATGTCAGTATTCTCGACACCTTTGGAATTTGATTTACATTTACATATAGGACGGCCTAATCATATGGAGAACAACGGCATCAAGTTACCAGTCCATGTCTTATCCCTGGGTTCAAAAATAATGGTAACTCTCACTCTTCAATATAAAAAAATGATAAAATATATGGACATTACAAAATAAATATATTTTGAAAATATTTTTTTCTGGCTTCAGACTAGGTAGGCGTCGCAAACTCTTATATTTTTAGAAGTTTATGAATGTGTTCGATCCGCCTACCAAATTTATTACAATCTGGATGAGATGTTGGGTTGTGGAGGTTCATTGACCTAAAATATTTGACCAGCGAAGTCAATACAGTCATACCCTACAAGCTAGTCCTTTTCTATAAGGATAGAAACATATACCCAGGTTGCCACCGTTACTATCAGTCTAACAATTACAATAACCTCTGGGACAAGATCGGCGGACGGAAAGTGTCCGACTTTAAATAAAATAAAATTGTAAAAAACAGCATTTGTGAAATATCGAATCCCATACTACAAAAGCGTGCAACCTTCAATACAAGAGGGCCAGATAGAAATGACTTGGTAAAACCGCGGGCCGTATCTTTATTCAACATAGGCTATCTAGTAGTTGCATGCACAAAATTTTTGGTTATCGAACTTGTGGGTGCGTTGTTTGGAATTACTCGCACGCACGTGCTACCCGCACCAAATTGAATTAAACTCGTTTCGCGGGCCCCAGATCATTCAAAATTGGCACTTCTTTGCGGGTAGCACAATTTTTTTTGAGGGGCTCATTCGGCCCGCGGGTCACAGGTTGTACACCCCTGTCATGAGACATCATATGAAATTTGAAAATTTGTAAGGGTGTAAAACTGATAGCTTTTTAGCGATTTTTCAAGTAATCAAATACTGAACATTCTAAATCGAATAAAGATTTCAACAAGTTTCCGCAACTTTTATATGTAACAGCAACAATAACCTAGTAAAAAGACCAAGAATTTGATAAAAATACTTTCTATTTATACTTCCCAGCAAATAAATAAATTTAAAGTCTAACTCACATCCTGGACTCGGATACTTCGGTTCTCCTTTTTTCAAAATGGTCGGTGGATTTTTGATATTTGCAGGGAGAAGTCTTCAGACTGTATAAAACGATCTGATAAAATTTCATTATTACGTATATCGCATATAAGTTGCACCGTACAAATTGTAACACAGACGTAAGCACCTATCAAGAAAATGGTGCAGAGAAGAATTAATGGAAATTATTTATTTTTTAAGTTTCTAACTTTTATTTATAACGGTAATGAATGTTTCAAATTCGCGAGAACAGACTTTTGCGATAACGTGGTTTTGAAATTTTGTGAGAACGAAATTTTACTGCTTTGGCACGTAACTGCTGCCCGTATAAAAAATATTACACAGGTCATTTTAAAATTATAATTAGTCTTGGAGGTTGCCTTTAAACGACGTAAAACCAAATATAGCATGAACTTCGCGAGATATGAGGTTTAAATGCTGCATACCTCATTCGGGATGCCGAAGCCGGCTTTCAGCGTCAGAAAACGTTTTCGGGGAAGCCGGAAAATCGGCTGACTTCGCACAATCGCACTAAACGTGAAATAGAGCCATGGAAAAGATCCCCGTTTTTATCCGGGATTCTGTTGGAACTCGGGGGTTTCAATTATACAGTTTGTTTATAAAATTTCGATTAAAAATGGCAACAAACAGATTTATATACGTACTTGTTACAGTTCCTCTTTTTACTCTTTCATTGATGACGAAACTTTTTGATGACGTCACAAGACAGATTAGTAAAAATAAAAAAGTTGTTATTTTTATTGTAAAATTATGACTAGATAATTCACTGTTTGACGTCATAATTAGTATCTGTAAAAGCAATAAATGTCACATTAAAGTAAGATAAATGACTCGCTGAATTATTGACTTGTTTTCCTGTATTTTCTTTCATCGTGAAAAGGGCTCAAAACATACTGGCAAAATTCAAGCTTAAAAAATTGTATGTCTTATGTATAAATTTTTCAATTAGAAAATTCGGACACCCCCTCCCCTCCAGTTGAAAATTGCTTGCTACGCCCCTGTCGTCGCAGTAAAACCAGGATAGCTTATGTCACATTCAGTCTATTTTTATAGTACTCCTTATCCAATGAAACTTTTTAAAAGGCAAGTGAAAAAGGCTCAGTTTTGTAAACTCTAAGATTTTAATAGTAGACAGATCTTATTTCCGACATCAGTGATTTGCTTACTGGTTGCCAAACTGTAATTTACAGTACGATGAAAAATATCTATCCACTTTTTTGGCGCTCCCGTAGCATGTGCAACAAGATGGCGGCCACCTGAACATGGTATGTGTACCAGGTAAGGTTAGGCCATAATTTTATTCCAATTTTCCTTATTTTAGTTCTATTACGAGTTTGGGGACTAGCCAAGTGACTCCCGTAGTATTTGTACCTGAAATTATGGCCTAACCCTAACCTGATACACATACTACGTTCCGATGTCCGCAATCTTGTTGCACATACTACGGGAATACAGCCATTTTTTTCAAGAAATACCTTCTTTACCTATTTGCTTCAAAAAATTTACATCAAATCTAGGAAGAATAACTTTTAGAGAGACACCCCCAATTAGAATCGCTTATAAAACAGTGATTAGTATACCTTTTTATTTACACTGAGTTATCTAGTAAACTCAAACCCTCAATTACTGGTGGACAAACAAGTATTAATCATTAAGAACAAAACGTTAGTTTATTAACTAGTTCAAAGCCGTCATCGAAGTGATACTGTAAAAAGCTTATGAAACGACCATAATTTAATTTTATAATTCAAGAGTCTTGCTGCACACTAACACGTTGCACACACAGACTTCTTCAGACAGACATAGTCTAACTATAACAAACAATTTGGTACTATTACCCTTACTAAGTTACTAATTCTATCTAGTAGAATCCCCCAATTAACGTTGAATACACATATCTTATTCTCTAAAAATAGTAATTCTGTCTATTTTAGTGGTCCATGGCCCTTTTCGAAGTGTTAATGTAATGTACGCTTACAAAACATCAAACTTTTCATCAAAGTTCTATGTTTATGGCAAACCCCATCCATCAATTATATGTGATTACATAATTTTCAAAATATTCAGTTCAATTTTCAAGTTTTTTAGAGGATACTGATGCAGGGCCTTCCTGACTTTCCAAATACTAGTTCAATCAGTTCTTTCTCTGGCCGTCTATTATTAGTGTATAGTACACAAGTCTCACTCTCCAAGAATATAGCAAGTTCTATTCGCTCGTGGTATTTTTTAGAGTGATAATGTGGAAGACTTATAAATCGTTTGCCATCATTAAATTAACTTTTCTAGATACTACTCTTAAACACATTCTCTAACACACACACACACACACAAACTTACATACAGACACTCAAACCTCCAATTACTGCTGAATAACAAGAATAGTAATTTGGGGACGCGTTGTATTGCGCATGTTCTCTCTCTTAATCTTGATCAGAAAACAACAGATATGTGCAAAATAAATCAAACTGAAGAGTTTGATAAGAACCAAAATTAGAGGACATGAACGGGAAAATTGGTAAGGTGACTTGATCATGTGACGGACGGTTACCAGTACGGATATTAAATATGGGAATAGTTAGATGGACAATGTCCAGCGCAATCTGCATTTCTAATCTTAAACTGGATAATTATTGATTTTCTTATTTTTACCGTTGTCGGGGGTGTTTTTTTGACGGTGGCTTTGTACAAAAGATCCGAGCACACATAATATTAAATCAAACACGCGGATTATTTGGGTAAAAAATCAAAGAAAAACGTGACGCCCTCTTTCTTCATGGGTACAGTTTAGTCCAACATGTTCTTCTAAACTTGACAAAGCGAATATTTCTATATGAAAATCAAAATTGTAATATTTTACATATTAGCCATAGCACTATCCATAAAACCCAACCTCTCAATCTGACATATAAACGAACGAAAGATCATAGTAAACTGTTAGCATCATTATCGCGGGCAATTTGATAGTTCGAAACTAAGATTCTATGATTTATACTTCTAAGAGCAAATGGATATTTTGTACAAAACCCGACACTAATGCAGAACTATAGACATACTTTAGAAATGTAGAATAGTAATTATTCAGTTGCGATTAGGAATGATTTGAAAATGTGATACTCACGTGGTATGTAAACCAAGATGGCGGACACCGGAACGTAGTATGTATATCAGGTTGGGGTTAGGTCATAATTTGAAGTACAAATACTACGGGAGTCACTTGGCTAGTCCTCGAACTCGTAATAGAACTAAAATAAGAAAAATTGGAATAAAATTATGGCCTAACCCTAACCTGGTACACATACTATGTTCCGGTGTCCGCCATCTTGGTTCACATACTACGGAAGCGCCGAAAATTTAAATTTCCAGCGCAATCTGCATTAACTAGATTATTACTAATTATCTTATTTTAAAATTAAGCGTTATCGGAGAGCAAATATTCTATTAACAAATTTAATCTAGCAAGACCTGTTTTGTTAACGACAACACCGACTCTATCTTTCAATCTGACATATCAACGAGTGACGAAAAATCTCGTTACGGTAATTTACTTTTGATGCCCGCGGGCTATGTAACATAGTGTAACGTATACTGTATAAAAGAATTGATATAAATTACAAGCTTTTTCGGATAAATAAGACAATTCTGCTTTATTTCAAAGAGTAAATTATATTTTTTTGCTTTGATCTGAGTCAATTATGAAATTCGACATTTATTTTTCATACCGCTCCCTACCTACTCCCACCGCTGTGTTTGATATAATATAAATTGAAAGATTACATAATCGCTGTACTGTGAAACTCCATTGAATTTTTGAATCTTTATCACTGCATATAAGCACCTTCTTATATTTTATAACTGCTTAGAGCGGATCAAAAAAGTATTTTGACGTCAATTCATGTTTATGTAAACTTACAAAGTAAGTATCTAACCAATCCGTTCGTTATACTCAATTGCACTGATACCGGGACTCGCGTAGTATTGTATCAGATTAGGGTTAGGGCATAATTATATTTCGATTTTCCTTATTTTGATTCTATTACGAGTTCGGGGACTGTCTGTGTTAGCCAAGTGAATATACCACCTGCCCATAGGTTTCCGTCCTTGATGTAAAGCAGGCGAACAAAATTAGTTACTTCCATATTAGTACACATATTTCTGGAGCGCCCACATAACTTGTGGCGAGGTTAAAGTAACGTTTTTTGAAACCCTTTCTCAATTCAAGTAGTGCTTAGAGCACAATAAAAAAAAAAGCACCCTAGGAAAAGCAACCAAGGACAATTTTCAATGGTACATAAGTGTTTTATTAAACACAGACCTCGATATTGGCCTGGTTGAAATTAAGTTCTTAAGTTGCCTATCTTTTTAAACCTCTTTACCAAGGTTTCTAAGTATGAGAACTGTTGCAAATTAATCGTAAGTTGGTCCTCAATTAATAATGAATATATTGAAATTCACTTATAACGCCAGTTTCATTATCATTTCATATATTTAGCACCAAAATCTCAAGTACTTCGGACCTCTAAAGGGCATAGTCCGGTCGTGAATTGAAGGAATCTTTCCATCGTCCATGTTTGTCAAAAGGCATTCTGTTGAGATTTGTAACTTTTAATATAATACCTCCTCCGCCGTTTTTTTATGAAACGCTTTACAAATTGTGAGACTAATTTTTTATCATGGAACACATCAATTAAACGTCACCGTCCGGTATTCTTCATCTGTCAACTTGCGTTAAAAGATACTCTGACAGATCGTTTGTTAAATTAAACCAATGATTTACAAGAGAGCGTTACTCAAGCACATGGACGCAAAGGCAAAACGCAATATTACGGGTAACGGTGTGTAATCTGTCACAGTAGACTGCCGAAGTACGACAAACTTCACGACTAACGAGAAAGCTCGCCATCTTTTTAATGACGTGGTCGCACACACACAAAAAAAACATGAAGCCCACAAAATAAGTTTAAGATAAATAAAGATAAAAAAAAATAACATCTTTAACCAATAAAAATTTTAAAACAATTGTCCCAC